GTTTAAATTATTAAGCACTTTTATCAAGACCCTTCTTCTACCATTCAGGTTAATCAAAGCCCTATTCCCTCCATTCAGATTTATCAAAACCCTATTCCCTCCATTCAGATTTATCAAAATCCTATTCCCTCTATTCAGATTTATCAAAACCCTATTCCCCTCTATTCCGATTTATCAAATTCCCTTCTCTCTCTGTTCAGGTTCTATTTGGCTCTAAGTCCCTTCTCGTTTTGTTAGCTCCCCGAGCCGAAGGCTTAAGTGAGCTTTTCTGATCACATTTTGTCCGACATCTGTCTGTCTGTCCGTCCATTAATTTTTCACATTTTCATCTTCTCAAGAACAACTAGACCATTTTCAACCAAACTTGCCACAAAGTATCCTTGGGTAAGGGGAATTTAAGTTTATTCAAATGAAGGGCCATGCGTTCTTTCAAGGGGAGATATTAATGGCATCTATAAAAAAAATCTTGTCAAGAACCACTGGTCAAAAAATATGAAATTTAAGTGGAAGCATCATCAGGTAGTGTAGATTCAAGTTTGTTTAAATCATGACTTCTGGGGTCATGATGGGTGGACAATCAAAGTTTTAGATGGAAGTACACAGGAAAAATCTTTAAAAAACAACAAAGTCATAATTAGTCATATTTACATGGAAGCATCCTCAGGTAGTGTAGATTCAGGTTTGTTAAAATCAAGACCCCCAGGACTAGGGTGGGGCCACAATGGGCAATTAAATTTTATATAGGAATACATTGGAAAAATCTTTATAAATCCTCTTCACAAGAACAGCTAAGCCAAAATTAGTCATATCAATAGGTAGTGTAGATTTAAGTTTATGCAAATCATGACCCTAGGGGCCACAGTGGGCGATTAAAGTTATACATAGGAATGTTTAGGAAAAATCAATTAAAATCTTTTCTCAAGAATAACAAAACCATGATTAGTCATATTAATGTAGAAGTATACTCAGGTAATGAAGATTCAATTTTGTTCAACTTTTGACCCCCAGGAGTAGAGAGGGGCCACACAGGGGATCAAAGTTAAACAAAGGAATATATAGGAAAAAACATTAACAATCTTCTTCTTGAGAACAACAAAGCCATTATTAGTCATAATAATTCAGAAGATCAAACATATAATTAGGAAAAATCTTGAAAAATCTTCCAAGGCCATGATTAGTCAAGGAAATATGGAAGCATCGTCAGTGTAAATTCAAGTTTAAACAAAGCCTTTCTTGTATCATCCAGATAGAGCAAAACCCTTTTCCTCCATCTAGATTTACAAAGCTTTCCTCCTTTTTTCCAGATTTAACAAAGCCCTTCTCATTTTGACAGATTTTACAGGGCCCTTCTCATTTAAATCAGTTTTAACCATGCTTTTCTCCTTACCAGCTTTAGCAAAGCCTTTCTTCTTCTTATATCCAGAAAACAAAAGCCCTTTTCCTTCGATCCAGATTTAATAAGTCCCTTTTCCTTCTATTAAGGATTAAAAAAGCCTCTCTACATTAAAATTTAAAAGCCCTTCTCCATCCAGATTTAGCAGAGCCCTGTTCCATTCAGGTTAAATATAGATCTTCTCCTTTTATCCAGATTTAACAATGCACTTCTTCTGTCAAGATTTAACAAAGCTTTTCTCCCTTCATCTAAATTTCAGAAATCCCCTCTCCCTTCCTTCATGATTTTCAAAGCTCTTTTTCCAATCTAGATTTTACAAATTCATTCTCCATCTATCCAGATTTAACTAAGCCCTTCTCCTATCCATATTTTAACAAAGCCATTCTCCCTCCACCCATATTTAACAAATCCCTTCTCTTATCATCCAGATTTAACAAAGCCCTTTTCTTATCATCCAGATTTCACAAATTCCTGCTCGTATCATCCAGATCTAACATCCTGCTCTTAGCATCCAGATTTACCAATGCCCTTCACCTTCCATTTAGATTTAACAAATCCCCTTCTCCTTCTATCCAGTTTTAACAAATCCCTTCTCCTTCTATCCAGATTTAACAAACTCCTCCTTCTATCCAGATTTAACAAAGCCATTCTGCCACATAGATTTCACATGCCTTTCTCCTTCCATCCAGATGTAACAAAACCCTACTTTTATCAAGATTAACAAATCCTTTCTCCTTCCATGTAAATTTCACATTAAAGCCTTCTTTCCATGTAGATTTAACAAAGCCTTAATGTAGACTTCACAAAGCTTCCTCCATTCAGATTTAATCAAAATCGTTTAGATTTTATTTCAGTGTGTCTTCTTCCATGAACTTTATTGGAAGTCTTTCTTACATCCAGAATTATCAAAGTCCTGCTCCTCCCATTTCAATTTACTGTAGGTTTACTTAAAAAAGCGGGCTGTGGGGTTGAAATTTTCTTGGAAAACCCACTAGCCCAGGGGCTTCTGATCAGTAAAAAATTACTAGCCCAAACCTCAAACTAACTACTTCAACAATTTTTTATGCAAAAACATCACAAGTTAAAGTTTCAAACCCTGTGGTGATTGACAGAGAAGCGAAAGTAAACTGATGAGAATATTTTTGCCGTTCTGCTAATCCGACAGATTATCATTACATTTTAATTGGCTAGCCCGAGTCTTAAAATGACTAGCCCTGGGCTTTGGGCTACTGTATATTTCAACCCCAGGGCTTCATATTTTAGTGGCTTTGGCATAGACAACTTTGTGCTAATTCACGAATACATGTACTATTAATAATTTGTTAAATAAATACAACACATGGTGTGGACTTGAGTAGCGCTAATTCATGATTACATCATACACTCAATACCGAGTGAATGCGCTAAATTTTGAATACATCCATTTATATACATGTACAGTATCAAATTGATTCTCCTGATCCTGTAATTACAGATATTTGAATTGAGGAGGGATATACCTAACCCAGTATATGGTAAGAATCCAGAGGAAATGGTAGCACAACAACCAGAATCCATGGAGCTGGACAAGTGAGGCTGGACATCGTTAAAAATAGGAGAGACTAAAGGATGTCGAGTGTCTGTCACAGAAGAAATAAAGATCACTTCTGTATTTTAACTGTAGGATAATAAATTATCACCTATGTACTCTTTCATTCAAAGTACAAAATAAAACATTTAAACCATATTGTGTATTATTATTCATCAATGTTACTGCTGGAAAGAAGGGTGTATTTTTGAATTTTGTACAGTGTCATGTTTAATATCTTGCATTTGCATTATTTGAAATTTAGACTGGTGTACAGTAATGCTATGATTTCAAACTAGAGACAAAAGCTACTTCTATGAAAGAAGTTGCTTTTGAGTTCTTAGGTAATGTATTTCAAAAACAAAATAATTTTATTATACATGTAGTACAAATCAAGATAACGAAAATTATGAAGAATGTCCTAGACATTAGAATTAGCAGTGTTTCTCAGCTTAAGGATTTTTTATATATACGATATATAATAATAATAATAATAATTCTTATTGTTGGCCATTAAGTTTTCGTGTTTGAATACAGGTGTATTCATTGTGCAGCATTCTGCCCTGGAGATGAAATACTAATGTACATTTTATCTCTGTATTTGCATGTAATAGGATTGAAATTCTTGCCAAGAGCTATGAGAGACATTCAAACCCACATTCACATCAATAACAAAGACATTGTTTGCTTTAAAAAAGAATTGCCTTAAACAATAGGAATGGATTTTTATTTAATTCTGTAGGAATCTCTTTTTCTGTTTGCATGGCTGTTTCTGATGTGGAATTGTTAATGGCTTTGTCATATATTGACAGGCTAACGTTGGAGGAAAAAATCAAACAAATGAAATTTTTCATTGATTTGTTAGATGTATGCAAACTATTATCTGCCATTTTCTCCTGTTAAATTTATCTATTAAAAAAATTGTTAATAACAGACAAATATCGAAGTCGTTTTATTGTAGAGTACTACCCAACCCTTCTCAACTCGCGGAGTTGTTTATTTTCGCTTCATTAAAATTGTCGACCGCTTCATTCAGATCTCTAAAAATATTGTACAATCTGGTGTAAAAATTTAAACCCTTAAATCTTACAAAGATTAGAAATTACAACCTGAAATATATCGGAAGGATTTAAATTTGGCCATTTAGCATAAGACTTATTAATTGAATTAGTGTGGGACTCGTCACCTGATCGATTCAATTTGCGTTTTTTCACGAAGCCCATTGAGCGGATGTTCTAATGCCGTGACATTTAATTTAGAAGTCTCCCGCAGTGACGGTGTAAGATGTTTGCCTATATAAATATGTAAGCTTTTAATGCAGATTAGGTGTAAATGTTTGTTGTCAGAACCCAGCTCTGGGTTGAAGAGGTTTGTTGAGCAATAAATGTATATAAATATATATATATATATAAAAGTTTTATCTACTCGGTTACAGAATCAACAGCTTGCAATGTCCCACCTTTTGTAATCATTTGACAGTGCCAGGATTGCAAAAAATCCTGGCTGATGTAAACTTCCGAGCCATTTGAACAAAACTTTGATTGTTTCTCTAACCAAATATTGCTTGTAATTATCTTGCCTCTATCGATTCACTCTTCCCGATAATTCCACATTAAGTTTCCGCATTAATCTGTCTGAAAAGTTCCAGTGGCATCTTTACCTATAAACCAAAATGAGATAATGATTTTCGTTTGCTGACAATTCAAACGAAGTAAAAGTAATTAAAAGGAAGGGAATACAGTGTACATGTCCATTCGATTTAACTTGCATGGTAAATTCTTCCCCAAATCGATAGAAATTTTTAGTGTATGTTTGCCTCCACAAATGTTTTTAATGATATATGTACAATTGAATACAGCTTAAATATATAGTTGTGGATTATATGTTGAAGATCTTTAAAGAACTATTTCCTTTTAACTAGGGCTTTAATGCCTGATCAATTCTGAATAGGTCTTGAACAAAAAAGCAGGGGAAATAATACCGACTTTTATCGATACATGCGCAAATTAATGACAAGTGTGCCGGGGTAACGGGCAATCGTTGCTAGGGACTACCCCGGTTGTTTGAATGTGGAGTACAGGTCCTATATGTAGACTAGTGGCTTATACAGGTTTATATACATAAATATATTAATTGTTTGGAAAACTGTGACGGGAGTAAATTCTACTGGAAGAAACTTTTAAGCAGTAGACATGTCGCAGGTAGGGATACCTCGGCCAGCCTCAATTGGTCAAAAAATGGGGGTAAATCTCCCCCAAATCGAGCATCCACTGTCTCGCATGGGTAACCCCACTAATATGGATGTGAGAGGGGTGTCCCGCTCTGGGGACAGACCTCTTTCCCACCCCACTGGTCGACCGTTGGCAAACGAGAACATATACACTGCCAGAAAGAGTCTGAGCGCCCATGGCCGGGATAGTAGGGTAGCATCCAGACAGATGATGGCTCCTCTCCCCATAGAGAGCATTCCCGAGGGGGTGGAGGTCACTTACGGAGACCCCACGAAGACCAGACTGCCAGTATTCGGTAAGATTTATTATTTGCTTGTTTTGGGGTTTTTAACACTGTTTAATGAATAACTATATCGTTTTCTTTACCTCAGTTTCAATTTTTGCAATTGCTGCCCAATCTTGTATCTCATGGCGATCATTCTGATATCGCATTACACAGCTATTCAATGTTTTTCATATGAGAAACTTTAAATTTGAATGTATGTAATCATTATTTTTGGCATTTTCCACTGACTCTATGATTCAAATAGAGATTTCTTCCATATGTCGGCGTAGGAATTTTAAACCATAGTATAATTACAATAAGAGAAAATGTATTTATATTTTTCTGTTGAATGTCATTATATTAATTAAATGCATGTCAAGGTGCAAAACACTTTTATACTGTCATGTTGGGTGTGATTAGCATGATTAAAGACTAGGTAGCAGTACATATTCAGGAGTTATCTAACAGATTTGGCGAACGGGTAGATCGAGGTTCCTTCAAGTGTTAAGCACACGAAATATCTGTTTACTTTGGCATAAACGCTTTAAATGAAAGACCAACAAATAGTTTACTCAATAATGTTTACCATTTAGAATGCTTCCTGTGCTCGGAAATGATCGTTTTAGCTTTAGTCCAGATTTCACCGGTCAGCGCGTGGACCCACGGGGTTAACAGCCCCGTTCAAAAGGATTCTAGACATCCAGCACTTGAAAATATTTAACATATTGGTTGTGTCAATACACTTTGTATTTCTTTAAAAGTAATATTTTTATTCAATATTAATTCTTTTCAACCGACATGTTTTGAAAGGCAATTTAAATTCGGTAACGATTCAACCATTAAACATACCAGTGGGGTGTAACTGAACACGACCCCGTCTCCAGGGCCACCGGTTAACACTGTACTAATTAATGAGGGTTGACCCCAGAGAAATTACTTATCGTATTAAGAATTAACATTTATACTATTGACATTCAGGAAGTGTATGAAATTAAATCAGTTGTGATGATAATAATTGATCATGAATGCTGATTCAGTTACTATTCAGTATTGATCTTATCTAGTTTGAATTTAAGCCATTTAAGATGTAAAACATAAATAGATATCTGACGCCCTGATTCTACCATTAAACCTAACTATTAAAAACCATGGCCAGATGTCAATTTACATTGGTGTTTCCATGTTTATTACAGGACAGAGTAACTGTGAAGCAAAGCCGGGTAGATTCCTCTTTTTGGTTTATTTCTTTTTGATTTTTTTATATGTATATTTCACTGAATAGATTTCTTCCACGGATCATTAGTATTTTCTTTCTTTAGTCCTAGCATAAATTAACTTCGCTTTTAAAGAGAGTTTTGAATTTTTTTCTTTTCTGCCAGTTTTATGAAATATAGTGTAGTATATTATATCACTTGGATTAGAGTTTTTTATGGTCTCGAGTTGTTCATATCGCACCCTTTCTTTTTGGAGTTTCAATAGGTTTTTCTCTGGTCGATACGTCATTTATCAATAACCATTAAAGGACAAACTGTAGACAGAACTTGAAATGTAAGAATGCATGTAAATCAATTTCTTGCATTGTAAGCAACCTTTCACTTTGATAAAATTTAAAACCACCAAATCATTGTCAAGTAGGGCGTATATCTCAATTTTATTATAGAATGTTTTTAGATAGTATTGCGGTTAAGAGGGCGATAAAATTTGTAAATGTTTACAAGAAAATATGAACTTATTCATTTCATTTATCAAGTTTACTGAAATTCAATGAACACACTGATATACAGAGTGACAAATAATGACACTTTCTTTACAGGGAATCGCGCCGATATGGGGAGCCGTATGGAGAACGGTGCCCCTCCCAGCAGAATGTCCTCCCGCCTGTCTCAAGTCTCCCAACAGGCCAGGCTAGAGATCGATGAAGTAAGACATCTACCGACAGACACACAACCAGCTTAATGTTCTAAGTCAATAACAAGTTAATAGTGAAGCCTCACAGAAAACAAAACACAGTGTATAGCTTGATATTTAAAATCAAGTGCAAATTTGAATCACCGTTAAAATAAAGTTCGCAACGATATATATAGAGAGAGAGAGAGAAAGAGAGAGAGAGAGAGATTGCAACAGCAAAAAATGAGTGATTCAGCTTTCAATTGGAAGAAACCTGGCCTATCGATTTCATTTAGTTTTTGCCAAGCTTTGCAAACTGTACGAAAGTACAATAATAAACCACCATTAACCTTTTAATACATGTAAAAGATGAATCGATTTGTAAAATTCATTTTTGTATTGCAAGTGACTGATAAATATGTAAACTCGGCTTTCCTGTTATCAGATTTTATTTTATTAATTTGAAACAATAGTTAAAGAGGAAACAATTGCTTTAAAGTCAAACCAATGTATAGGTGTCAAAAGTAATGTTGGGTAAAACCCTAGCTATGGTATGGTTTACAGACATACACAAAAGTCATTATATAACCTAGAGTTTATATGGATTATACCTCAGATATAGTTATCATCATTAAAAAAAAGAGTGGACATTTGCAAAATTACAGTACAGGCCTATAGTTTACAGTTCTATTAGAATCTTGCAATATTTAAGAAATTTATAGAATAGCTTCTGCAACATAAAATACAAACATTACATATTTTTGTCGTGAAATATAATGATTTCAGCTTCCTGACATTTTCGTAAACCGTGATGGAAACTTCCTAAATAATATTTGACAGTGTAAACTACAGTTCCTTTTCTCAAAATATTAGCCGAGAATCGAGAGAGCAGGTTTCCCAAATGCTCTTTTATACCTGTTTACTCATTTTTTGGAAATTGGTGTATTGCATAAAAATTTCTATCCATGTCTATAACAAGTTATGGCAGGTAAATCTTATCCTTAGTGATTTTATTTTACAACAGATAGAGACCATGCTAAGGCAGAGAATTAAGGGTAGTTATTATGAAATCAAGAAGAAGTTTAAGGACAACGATCCGGAACAGAAAGGAAATGTCTCTAGGTATTATCATATGGTGATTAACAAACATCGAGTTCGAACACTCTTATAACGAAAATTGAAAAAGTTCTTATGTACCCAGTATGAAATATTTACAGCAATACTCCAAGATTTTCCAATACGTTCTCAATAAAATTAACTTGACTTACAGAGAGGCATTCTACAGAATCCTGATGACCATACTAAACAGGAACCTATCTCAGAACGTGTTTAACCGATTAATGGACAGACTGGGGTTCAAGGACAAACAGATTATCAATTATAGCGAATTCTTCGCCTACTTCCACGAGGCACAAGCTCAGAATGACTATCCTCGCTGGATGGACCCTGTCCAGCGTATGTGGCCAGACAAGGCTACGATGAATTCGTCACAAGTCCACGCTCAACTGAAAGAAAAAGTTAGACAAAAGTGAGAAAAATATCTAATTGAACTCACCCGTTGTGGGTTTTTTTTGTCGTCACCTTGTGTCAATAACCCAAACTGCACCATTGTTTTATTTTTTGTCACGGTCTAATTTGCGTGCTTTAATTCCAGGTTCTTAGATATTGCCGATTTAATACCTCAAATGAACCCTGGAGGAACGGGAAGAATTCTGAAACCCGAATTCAGACAAATGCTGAATAAATTAATGTTTTACATGGAAGACACAGAATTTGAAAAACTTTGGAAAAAGTACGATTTTAAAAATCAAGGAATAAAAATAGATAAACAACCTGATTGAATGAAAACCATGTATTAGATTAATATTGTCAAAAGGGTATACTAGTTAATAAATGGATAGAATCAAAAATCAAATTATTAAACTTGGTGTTTTAATGTAGGTATGATCCTAACAATACTGGAACAGTCAACGGCCCACAGTTCCTGAACGCTCTGGGTATTCAGCTGGAGAATGGAGATGAAAGGATCAAATCTCCTATACAAGGTAAGATAAAATGCTTCACCACCGACAGGATACGATCATTTACAAAAATAACATATTCAAAGGATAACTATATTGGTTTAAAATGATAGGAAAAGACTCCAAGAAGACGGGTAAAAAGGTAACGGTGAAGGAAGGTAAGACTAAGCGTGGATTGGTTGACTGCATGCAAAGGAGAAATGTTTGGGCTTGTAGAATTCTCCTTGTGTTTTGTAGTGCAATCCTTTTTAGAATAATTGATGGGAATCATTTTAAAGAGCTATTTCATCCATCATGGAGGGTAATCAAATCCACCAGCACTTTAAAACTTCCCTGTAGCACATAGGATTTTGACAGAAAATTTGATCGATATACATGTATTGCATTATGGGTTGCAAGGGAATTTTATATCTATTGGATGATTTTTGGCATTCCATATACAGTCACTGGGAATGGTAGTCACGAGTTTGTTTATAGAGAGGCTGTAGAACCCTTTGTAGTTACCCTCCTGCAGAGCAATCGCCGAAATCGATTTTAGCATTATTGCACTTTGCAACTGAAAAATGAAGAAGAAAACTGTTGCTGTTTGTTTTTAATTTCCGTCCTACATGTTGTTTTTCTTTATTTTGCTACATTAACACCAAATGCCGCTGTAAAATGAATCAAAGTGAAAAATAAACTTAATAATTATGGAACATCTGTCTTTACTTGATAGGACCTTCATCGAACAGAACACCAAGGAAGAAGGAGATTGAGAGGAAACAGTCCCTGGATATAGAGCGCTGGCTAAAGAGCAAATTCAGAGAGGGATGTCATCAGATGCAGGAGGCGTTTGAGGCCAAAGACTCATCAAACAAAGGCGTGGTATGTCATTTACAGCATCTTTTTGGGGAGAATTATGAAATGGATTTTGACATTGCAATAAATTCTCTGAGAGGTATACATGTTTTTGTTGCTTTTTTTTTTGACAGGTGAGTTTTGACGACTTCTTGGAAGTTTTAGCTCAGTTCCACCTGAAGCTGGAGAAAAAGCTCCTTGCTGCCTTCCTGTCCAGATGTGCCGTACAAGCCCACAGAGATGGAGTTCCCTACAGAGACTTCCTCCACCGATTCCAGGACCGCTCTGAAATTGGCATGACCCACAACATCCTGACCAACACAAAGCACAGGCTAGTCAGATTGTTAGTTATTAAATTTTATTCATACAGGTGTGCAGTAGATGTGCCGTGATTCCAGCTGTGTAGCCTCTTTAACTTTGGGCAGTAGTTGAGACAGGGATCTAAGCCTGATGGTAGTAGACACACATCCATCACATCACGACTAATTCATCAACCATCAACTCTCTAGCTTAACGGTTTTTCCTGTTTTAGAAAGATTGCATTTCTTCTTTTTTTTAAAATTGTCATTCTGTCTCTCAAAAATCATGGTATCTCTCAATGTTGGTCTGATTTAGCAAACTTGTAGCACCTTTATTTAGCGAATGGATTTCTACACTTGGGTGATATTCTCTGTGTTTCTTGAATAAAATCATTCAAGATATAAATCTGAGGAAGAACTTTTTTAATGTATGTCCACTGCTGTTTACAGGGTAAATGACAGACCCGCTAGCCCCAGTCAGGTTTCCTCAATTAGCGGCATTGAAGTACAGTTGATGAACATGTTCCAGAGAGATTTCTTGGCTCTTCTAGGAACCTTCAAGTATGTCCTTTAAATCATTTACTCATAACAAAATTGAATATTCAATTTTTTTTTTCTGCAGTAACTAAAATTTCAAAGGCTAATATGCCGATTTTTTTCCGTATTATTATAGGAGCATAGACAAATTAGGTCTAAATGTAATCAGCCAAGAGGAATTCAGAGCGGCCATTGAGAGTCGCTTTAATTTCCACCTCCAAGATGACCAGTTTGAGGCTTTTGTGGACAGACTTCCCCTAGATGATGATGGCAATATCAAATATGCTGACTTTATGCAACAATTTGACACAAAGTATGAGCATGAAAGAAGTTTTTGCAGTCTTGATACTATTTTTATCACAAACTTTAAGATAATTTTACAAGAATACATGAATCTATTGAAAGATTTTATGTTTTTTTCATTTGTTAAATCCAGAGGCAAAGCCAAGAGCCTTTTTGATAAAGAGAAGGATGTGGATACATCTGGTCCTCCTAAGGTACCAAGTCCGATCCCAGAAGTAGGTCCCCCAGAGATGCCAGAGGGTAGCCCAGTGGATAGACTTGTCATTGATGAACCAGTGATGGCAGATTACGCTCAAGTTCGCCGCACGCCACAGGAACTGTTCAAAGTCATTAAAGATCTTATGAACAGACGATTCCAAGATATAGAAAGAGTATTTTATGAACTAGATGAAATAAATAGCGAAAGACTATCACAAGAAATGATGTATCAACTACTTAAGAGGTGTTTGCAATTTTTTATGGATCGTTTTGCATTCTCGTAGATCTTTCTTTGAATATCTAAAATGGACAATTGTACTAATAATGACATTATTTTCTAGATTTGACATAAGACCAGAAGTTTCTCGTGGAGAAATTAGAGACCTCTGGAAGACATTTATTACCAATACAGACAAAACCTTAGACTACCATGAGTTTATCCGCCATTTTGGATTCTCAAAGAAGTCGGCTTCCTTCCCCAATGCTAAACTGAACCCACCCAAGAGAGGAGATGCCGACTACATGATCAGATCAAGGAAACTCAACTGTGCTGCCGACATGTTGGAGGACAGTTTGAGGTCAAAGGTAACAATATACATCCAAGATCTTGTGAAGTGAATCAATTTTGGACTCCAGCTTTTTTGTTTTCCATATGTTTCATGCCTTTCCAGCTGCTTGTAGCAAATATTACCCACATATGATCTGTTTGTGATTTATTAATTTTGCCAACAAAAACAAAACTGATTCAGTCCCATGGTAAAAGACCTAGATGGTATCTTTGAATTATGTGTGAAATCGACTACATGTAATTATTTTTGTTGACATTGGTATCCCTTATCTGTTTTTAGGTCGATTACATGTGGGAGGACCTTAGAAAGGAATTTGTGGATATGGATCCCTATGGAACCGGCTACATTACAAGAGAGGAGTTTAAGGATGTTCTCACTGAGCTCTGTGTACATCTCAGTGAGTTTGAGATAAACAAACTCAGTGACAAGTTTGATCTGAAGAGAGATGGACGGTATGTTTTTAGTATTTTTAAAAATTAGCACTTTGGATTACTTCAGACATAACATATTGTCACTTTTATTTTATTCTAATATTATATCTTTTATAGGGTTTCTTATATCGAGTTCTTGAAGCCATTTGCCCTTAGAAAACAGATCTGGCGTCATGGTAACAACATGCTTTCTCTGCTTGCTCACCCTCAACCAGAACTGCCAATTCCTGATATTGTAGAACCTCCTCAGAAGGGTCTCCATGGTATCACTTCTAAACTGAGACAGAAGGTAAGATACTTGGTAATCATTCCACTGGTGTAGTATTACTGAGACAGAAGGTAAGATACTTGGTAATCATTCCGCTGGTGTAGTATTACTGAGACAGAAGGTAAGATACTTGACAATCATTCCACTGGTGTAGTATTACTGAGACAGAAGGTAAGATACTTGGTAATCATTCCACTGGTGTAGTATTACTGAGACAGAAGGTAAGATACTTGGTAATCATTCCGCTGGTGTAGTATTACTGAGACAGAAGGTAAGATACTTGGTAATCATTCCACTGGTGTAGTATTACTGAGACAGAAGGTAAGATACTTGGTAATCATTCCACTGGTGTAGTATTACTGAGACAGAAGGTAAGATACTTGATAATCATTCCGCTGGTGTAGTATTACTGAGACAGAAGGTAAGATACTTGGTAATCATTCCACTGGTGTAGTATTACTGAGACAGAAGGTAAGATACTCGGTAATCATTCCACTGGTGTAGTATTACTGAGACAGAAGGTAAGATACTTGGTAATCATTCCACTGGTGTAGTATTACTGAGACAGAAGGTAAGATACTTGGTAATCATTCCACTGGTGTAGTATGCATGGATCTAGATTGTCATTTCTCAATTTTAACTGTAATTGTTATGTCGGTTGTCATTACCTGTTTCTTGTTTATTTCGTTCAGCTTGCTGGAGACTGGAAGAATCTACGTAGGGCTTTCAGGAAACTTGACACAAAAAATGATGGTTATCTATCAGTTCCTGAGTTCCGTTCAGTCCTGAAACTGGCCAATGTCATTTTGGATGAAGATGAAGTTTATCATGTTCTTACTCAATTTGACCAAAACATGTCTGGCAAAATTCCATATGAAAAGTTCATTGATGAAACATTCAAACCTGCAACAAGACAGAGTGTACGAAAAATCTAACATTTTAACATATTTACTATTTCTTGTTTTGTGAGATGTGCCCCCATATGAGAAGTGAATGTACATGGTGGTAAACTTATGAATATTGAAGAAAAATACCTTTAAAACTTTGAATGTCAACAATATTTTTATACTTGTATACTTATAATTTTTCATATCATGCCGATTCATTCATCTTGTTCCCATTGTGAACTGTCCGTGAGCCTGGACTCTGATGTGATAACTTATTTTTGTGGTGCATCTACGTGTTTGCTGTCATTCCAAGTCATTGTATTTATATATATTATATAACAGTATTATCAGCTCTAGGTGTGCACGTGACTTCCGGTTTTGAGCAATAGGTACACTACAATTAGGATGTAAAGTAAAACCCCATGAAGATTAAAACTTTGAAGCACCCTTCTTGAATCCAATACTTTATAGCGTTTGGTTAATCATGAAAACAATATTTTGTGACTGTATTGTGTAGAAGACTGTGTTATTTAATTTTTGATTGAAGCGAGCGATGCTTTTTAATGCTACATTGTACCGTGATTTGTAGGGCTGCTCCACACCTTGTCCTGATGTGATGGAAACTGTGATATTTCTTTTGTCTGCATCTACGTCTCCACTAACATTACATGTATTTGTTACAATATCGTTTTACAATAAAATTGTAAAAATTTTAGTCACTTCTTTTTTCTTCTGTTTGAAACCACTACTCGATCAAAAGTAGAATTAACAATCTTTTTTTTTTATTTAGCTCAAATACATCTCATATTACTCTCCCAAATGAAATATATATAAATTTTTTTTTAATTTATTTACTTATATTTATTTTAGGGATGGCAATCGAATACAGAATTGCTAATCGGTTAACCGCAAGATGTTCCGACCGATTAACCGGTTAATCGTATCAAAATACACATTTTCTTGACTTATTTTTTTTTCAAGTAGCGCTATACATGTAAACGCATTGTCAAGAAGACTAAAACAGACGTTAGAATTAAAGTTACAAATCTTCTGTTACCCTTATCAGGAAACTACATGTACATGTATTTTCTTTCAATTTCAAGAGAAAAGGGAAAATAAGGAAACCCATGAAACATGCCCGAGAAATCAGGCATTGATAATTTTCCAGAGCAGATGTCACAGAAGTTCATACTGCATCGTCACTATAATCAAAATTAAATCGGAATAATTATTAACTTTCACTTAATTTACGTTGTTTATTTAATGCTTTAATTTGATGGATAACGGCAAAAGATAGACATATCAATTCAAAGTGCTCAACGATAATTTATTTAATATCATCAAAGAATTAGAGGACTGTCGTGATAACTACATGTACATGGTGTTTAAACTGTAATTAACACTTCCCCGCGATCTCAATCAGGAGAGTCATAATTACCGCCGAATCAGCTTAAATAGATATGTGAAAACGTTACGTTATCAATGTTTATGCAGAGGTTTCTTTTTAAAAATGAATTTGAAGGAAATTGCGTTCAAATTTACATATATTTTATTTTTTCCGACTAACCGATTACAGATTTTCTAACCGATTACCGCCGTTCCGACCGAGTAATCGGTTAACCGGTTACAAATTGACATCCCTAATTTATTTATTTATTTATTTATTTATTGGCGCTATTATGCCTTTTGAAAATCACAATAATGCCCTTTTTTCGTGTTATTACGCTTTTTTGTATTGTTAAGCGTTTTCACTTTGCGTTATACCATTTATACATAAAAATTTTAATGACACATTAAGACGTAAAGATTACTAAGTAGAATGATGTATTGATATCAAAGAAATGTGGGAAACCATAGGTCTACAATATAAATGTAATAATTACTCATGAGTTTACAATCTTAGACAGTTCAAGGTCATTAATGATGAATATCTGGTATGCCCCCTACAAACACCAATGATAGCCTTAGACGTTATCCCATGTACACAAATGTGTGTATTAGAACTGTATTAGAATACTTGGTTCAGCTGTTGCAGTCTGGGGATGCAGATGTCTTTTACGAATATGCCTATTTGTCTAATGCAAGCTCAATGCGTTTAAATCTGGCGATCTAGATCGGCAAGGCAGGATTAGATGCTGTGGCTTTGCAAGGATACGATTGTCAGACGAGCCGTATGTGGCTCTTTATTTTCTGATTGAAATATGGCTCCAGGATGCTGCATTATTGGTAAGACATGTGCATGTAGGACATTGTCAGAGTACTGTTGTTCAGTCAAAGTCCAAATCAATCCTGTTTACAATACTGCTGCCAACATCTTGGCACTACCAAGACCAAATCTATCAACCTCCTGTAGGGATTTTTTTGCAAAACGTTCTTTACCAAGCTTATGCACTCTGACTCTTTCATCAGGCTTTGCAATAAAAAATCGGGACTCATAGCTAGTGTTGTTGTGGCCATACTCTGTTGACAGAAACCTTTCAAGTCGATATTGGCGTTTTGTGGGATCAGAAAAATGGCATGAATAAGTCTTTGCTCTAATTCCAGCATCCCGTAGTCAATTGCAAACGATCTTGCTTGATATTTTGTGCAGTTCAGGGATAGCTTATGCTGTACACAATGTCATGATGAAGATGACGCAAATCAATGAAGCGATCCTGTACTGCTGATGTCACGCGTGGACTGCCATATTTTTGGCGATCATTTGTTGTACCATGCTGTTGGTATCTGTTTAATAGATGAGATATGGTGCTTTCTGCAAGATTAAAACCTCTTAACGACTGTGGTACACCTTGCAGTCGCCCAATTTCCTTTTTGTTATGCATCATTTAGATGGGCATTCTTAAATAGCGTCATTTTTTTTTTAAAAATTGAGAACACCAGCATTTGACAGCCGTTTTGTACCTGAATGATGTGGATCAGAAACCAACAAAAGTGTTCAAAAACAAAATATTAGTATTTTCCAAGATCAGGTGCTTTTTGTCTGTGAGTTTTGTATACTGGCTGTCTAGTTAACAAAAGTCTTAGAAATCATGTATTTTACTCGAATGAATCATATTCATCTAAAACAATTGTACGACAAATCTATTTTATATTATCCAGCGTATTGTTCCTATTATGCGCTTCTTTCTTTCTTTTTTTAACGGTTTTCAACTTTTCATACAATATCACGTCACGACCTGCACAAAGGGGAAAAATACGAAAAACATGAGAATTAGATAAAGGCTACTATTATTTGACAAGCTCAAAGTGTTTTGCAAATTTCAAAATCCAGTAACATTGATTTTCGGATGAAATGCTATTACGATATTGCAACACTGATACAAAAAATCTATATGACATGTCGGTGTTGATAAGAACAAAAGGGATACATAAATTTTTGTCACATTCGTTTTCCATAACATCTTCCCTATTGAATGAAGCAGATTTAGAAGTACCAAGGTCACTGAAATTAAAGGTGATATAAATCAGTCTACCTTATAAAATGTCCATTTAATATATATAAAAGATTTTTTAACAGTAACATTTCGTATCATTCTACTCATTCACTCTGAGACCGTTCACGGTAGCTCAGTCGGTAGAGCGCTCGCTCCGTGATCGGAAGATCGTGAGTTCGAGTCTCGGCCGCGACTGGCCTAAGTCGATAAAAATAGGTAGCAACTGTTCCTTCGCAATGCGCTCGGCACTTTGAAGTTGCGGGTCCTTCGGACTAGACCTTAAAACCGAGGTCCAGTGTCACGGCAGGCGATGGCACGATAAAGATCCCTCACTGCTCAATAGCCCTGAGTGCCGAGCAAAGGTCAAAATTTGAAGCCCTTCACCGGTATATGGTGACGTCTCTATATGAGTGAAAAATTCTCGAATGGGACGTAAAACAACATACAATCAAGCAATCAATCACCACTCTGAGTGATAACTTGGTTTTGTTTTCTTAAATTAATTTTTAATCTGTGATGTACAAATGTGCATAATCCAAAAGCAATAGCAGTGTACCACAACCTGCTAACAGAAAACTATCGAAGATGAATGTTGTCTGTTATTAATCTTTATCTCAGTCATAAAACATTAACAGATTAATAAAATGAACATATAACACAGCGAACGTACATCATTATAAAAATATACTTTTTGCTACTTGCATGTATATATTTCTGTGCTGATGAAGATTCTCCTTAATGAAAACATACCTGACTCAGACATATTTGCAGCTCAAAGTTCAAGATGTCAGAAATATTTTTAGATGAAATGTATAGAGATAACGAACAGTATTCAAGCTCAAAAGTCCATTAAACAATACAAAATAGGAGCAGAGCAAATAAGGACCTCCAAAACATCAGAGGTGGGATCAGGTGCCATGGAGGAGTGAGCATCCCCTGCAGACCGGTCAAACCCGCCGTGTGCTCCTTGTCATGATCGGGAAATAACGGAAAAATCCGTACAATTCAGTGTGTAAATAATGGCCTAACAATAAGTATGAAAAAACTTCAGTCTGCATTTGACTCAATGATAAATTGTATTTGCTGACAAGGTCATTGTATCGACCATAGAACTGACGAAATGATGACTTTAAACGAGACTGCTGATATTCTTGTTTCATCAACTTGTTTGTCAATAATTTACCTCGTTTTAGAAATTGTACATACATAGAGCATGCTCTACTGAGAGATATAAACCCTGTATGCAGGCGATGAAGGTATATTGCTGCATAAGTAAGGGAAGTTGAAAAGTTAAAGTCATCACGTATATCATAAAGCTTGGTTGTTAGATTATCATTAACTTTTTTTTAAAAGTAAAATATCCAAATATGAAATAGATGTGTCAGACTCTGTGGTATCTTTTTATCTCAAGCTCAGCGGGATATATCGTATCGACATAAGAAAGGAAATAACCATTGTTAATTGACAATACGTCGTCGATATATCTAAATGTCGAGTTCACGTATAAGATTTTGGTCAAATTCTGCTTCATATAAGTATAAAAATGGTCTGCTTTTTCATATAGAAAACGAAAAGTGTTGTTCAAAATTAATATGTATACTGGAGCATATCCATGCAGAGATCGAGATTTATGTGAATTATAATTGCTTTAATGTATAAATAGCCTCATTAATGTATATAAATATACATTTTCAAATGACTTTGTCGGAGATAAAACTACAAATAAGGTATTGCTTTATGTCCTCATATTACATAAAGCGATTTGCTCAGCACGTGACAGAACTTCATGCTTTCACGCTGTGCGTTGCTTAGTAATTCACTAGGTGGGACCTGCAGTTATTTCTTATTATAGAATAAAAATGGAATAAAGGATCAAGTGAAAATAAAGATATAAGGAAAAACTTTCTAGTTTTGGGGTTTTATGATGATGATCAATTAGGTTGCTCGCCTGATAATTTTATGCATAAAAGCGTTTATGCAAATTATCACGCGAGCAAACAGATTGATCACATCATAGAACCAAAAATTAAACAGTTATTCCTTAAACTGTTTCGCAGCTAACTATCAAGTTTCCTAAATCAATTGTTGAAAGGAAAGGGGGGGGGGTTAAAGACCATAGGCGTGCTGAGGGTAGGTTCATGATGTCACATGCATAGTCACATACATAGTGTCATCCTAGTGTCATGACATCGGATTGTATACCAATCTCAATCGTTGATTTTTGGGTTGAATTTTAATAACTTATTTTTTGAGTAACGACGTCCCAGAAAATGTACATCAA